CTGCAGTGGTGCGTGGGGTCCAGTGAGCTAGACATACCCCTCACGGGCACTGGCCTCCCAGGTTCACTGGGCTCACTATGCAGACCCTCCCTTTCCTCTTCTGAGCCTGCCCCACTCCTGCCCCAGGCTCTAGGGCCGACTCTTCCCCACAGCAGCTGTAAGGCTCACTGTGGATGCCGTTCCCACAGCTGCTTCCGGGTGCACACGCTGGGTGCCTCAGAGGCTCACCATGTCCAGGCCTCACTCCAACCCTGTGAGGTGGTCACACTTAATTCATCCATCACCCAGAGGAAGAAACAGGCTCAGAGAGGTGAAGTCACTTGCTCCAAACTACCCAGTAGTAGGCAACTGAGATTCAAATTCAGGTCAGTCCACCTGCCTTAATTACTCTCCCCCTAGGCCTAGCCTTCCAGCATTCCCACACTGGCGGAGAGGCAGTGGCCTGGGGCCCAGCTCCCTGGCCAAATCTTGCCCACAGGCATTAGCCCAAAGGCGTATCTCAGTCCCCAGAATCTCCCCCAGAAAACCCATTCAAGAGGGTTTAGTTAGGACTCAGAGGTGCAAGGCTGGCTCATCCTGGTGCTCATCATGACATCTTGGAAATGACCTTGCCCCTTTCAGATCAAGAGTTGTCTCTGTGGAGATTTGAAGATGCTGGCACACCTGGGGTGACAAAGCCCAACAGACCTATGTTCTCTCCCACACCTACCAGGCAGGCTCCTCGGGCTGCTCTGCAGAAGGTCTTCTCCAGACCCAGAGCAAACGCCTCTTCCTAAACAGCCTCCCAGGCCTGTCCTCTCCACTGAGGCCGTGCAGGGTGGGGTCCTGTGAAGCCCAAGCGCTTCGGAAGCACCATTCCTCAGGGGTCTTAATTATTCTGCCCTGTGCGTCTCAGGTGAGCACCGTTCAGCTCTCCGCACAGCTGGAGTGGAAGCCCCATTCCCTCAGCTGGAATCTTCCAGACAGGGCACTTTGTCTTACCAGACAATGAGACCAGCATCACCTTTGGGGGCTCCTCTGGAAGCTCCCTGCCCTTTCTTGGCCTGGTTCCCTCTGAGTCATCACCACAACCCTGTGACAGTGGCCCCAGGGCTGTGTTTAATGTTGTGGCCACTGAAGGTCTGAGAGGGGGAGGCCTGCTGAACCCCCCCCCCCCACCCCCCCCCCCCCCCCCCCCCACCCCCCGTCAGTGATAGGGTGAAGCCCAAACCATGTCTGCCTGCCGCAGAGGCAGAGCCTCTGGAGACGTGGGGACATGTACAGAGCACTCTCAGCTCTTCCCGCTCATCAGGGCACTGCAGCCTGGCCTCTCCGGGGGAGACTTCAAGGCTCATCAGCCCATTTTGCTCTGGGAGTGGGGGTTGGCCAGGAGGTTAAGTGTTCTGGCCAAGGATGCCGCCACCCTTGTGGACTCCAGGGCCCTGGGGCGACTTGGTCTCCTTTCTCCAACCGACACCTTCCCCTCCTGGGCTGACAGTGCTCCCGACCTCAGTCGCAATCTAGAGGTATCTGCAAAGTCTAGTCTGCGTCCGCTTAGGTCCGGCAGCGCCGCCGGCTGGCTTTGTCCCGATGCTCCCGCCCCAACTAAGGGCCCCTAAGAGAACAAGGGGTTGGGGGCATTTCCGCCGCAGCCTCCCTGCGGGCGGGACCGCCAGGAAAGACGGTGGGGGCTCCGCATTCCGGAGGCCGCTTCGGGATCCCCGAGCTCCTGCAGACGGAGCCAGGGAACAAACCTCCCGTCGGCCCACCTGCCTCCGGGCGTCGGGGCGGCCCCAGAGGCCCCCGCGACGACCCGCTGGAGCCTCCATCGAAGAGCTGCCGGGCCTTCGGGCTCCGGGACACTGGCGAGCCCCACCAGCGCGCTTTCCCCGAAGAGCGGCGCCCGGGACGGCCCGTCTGTCCGTCGCCTGGACACGCGCCTTCGCCGCGCGGATACACCCCCGGCGCCCGTCCCGCTGCGGCTCACCCACCGTGCACCAGTCTCCGCATGTCCTGGTAACGAGCCCACAGGTGCGCGCTGACTTCGGCGCCGCCCGCGGGCGCCGGGGCGGGCGCGGAGCGCGGGGCGCTCGGGCAGTGGGCGCCGGGACCCGGGGGGCCGCAGCCAGGGCAGGAGGGCGTGGACGAGGAGGCTCGCGGCCCGCCGTGGCCCCTGCACGGCAGCCAGCGCCGAGCGGCCGCCCGCAGCCCCGCACCCGCCATGCCCGCCGTGCGCTGCCCGCGCAGCCCTCGGCCCCTCGGCCCCTCGGCCAGTCCGCCGCCCTCCGACTGCGCGCCCGCCACGGTGGCCGCGTGCTCCTCACGGCGGCCGGCCAATGGGCGCGGCGCGCGGAGCCCGGCCGGCCAATGGGCGCGCCCCTCGGCCCCGGGGGGCGGGAGGTCCCGGGACGGGGCGGGGCGGGGCGGACTCCCGGGCCCCCTCCCCCGTCTCCGCGAGGCTGAGAAGGACTCTGCGCTCCGCGGCCCCCTTCGGTCGCCACGGCGGTGATGGCCGCTCCCTCGGCCCCGCTCCCGGGATGTCGGAGGGCCAAGAACAGCCGTCTCCATGAGGCTATGGACGGCCGGGGAGCGGGAAGGGGAAGGCCAGCGCACGGCGACCCCCCCCGCCCTGATATCCCCCGCCCCCCGGGTCCTCTGTCTCCCCCTTCGATCCCGGGTCCTCTTGCCCCTTCTCCACCCCACCCCAAGTCCTCTTGACCTCAGCTCCGCCGCCGCTCCCGGCAAGTCCTGCCCCAGGGGTCCTGTTCCGCGCAGACCAGGGGCCGGCTCGCTTCACTCTAGCGAATAAAGAGGCCTTACCTCGCGCAGCCCGGTGCTAGCCCCAAGCCGGGTGAGACCCTGGGACCCGCAGGGACACGCAGTGCCGCCCACGCCCGCTGAAGCAGCTCCTTCTTGGTCCCTCACTGTACCGTACACAGGTGATCCCTTTTAACTCAGAGCAGGAGGACGAGGACAGAGCGGTGCAGTGTAGTGGTGGGCCCGGGGTCATTGCACCTGCCTGGTTCTGACCTCAGCAAACGACCTCACCGACCCCACGCTTCGCTTTCTCCCACCGGGCCCCTCTTGAGATGCTGTGGTCTCTTCTAGTCTTCTAGTCTCCAGACTTTTCATAGACATTCTGCTTCCCTGCTTGCAACCATTCTCCACCTGTGTTTTTCTGAGTCCTGAGTCTGCTTTTTCCTGAGTCCGCTTGCGTCCCAGGCTTAACGGTAGGCCCTGAGGCGCCCGACAGAGCACCAATGTACCCCATTGGTGGGGAGCTGGCTAGCTGGACACTGTTTCCTTGGGGTGCTCCTCCTGGTTTAAGGGCATATTTGTGCTTTTGAATATCCACTGCACCTTGGCTGAGAACCTACCCACCGTGGGCCAGATCCTGGGCCAGGAGCTGGGGCGGGGCGGGGGAGGAGCGCGGATGGAGGCCGAAGGGTAGTCCCACGGGAGCCCAGCTGAGCTAAGTCGGCCTTCGGGACTTGTCCATAAGTAAGCTTCCTCAGGGTGGGAGATGGGTGCCCGGCGATGACAGGTTCCCACAGCCACCAAGAGGAGAACCTGGAGTGCTCCGCCAAGGCAGTATGCAGGGAGCTGGGTAGGGTAGGCCCCAGGAGAAAGCAGGTGATCCAGGAAGCAGCTCTGGGCCAGCAGTTCAGCTCCAGACTCTGTGACCCGTGCCAGGGGCCCTGCTTGCGCTCTCTCTCTTCTCCAGCCTATTTTTGTATATTTTGTGTTCACACCACCAAACTTTTTTATTGACTTTGTTTCCGTTTGATGTTCTTAGACTGTGTAATAGCTGTCTCCCTTCTCAAAGATAGGCCCCTGTTGTTTTTCTAGCCTTAGGTGATGAAGTGACAGTCCCTTATAGCATGCACAGGGACTCAAGAAGCGTGAATGGAGGCTCTGGTGCTCTTGCCTGGCTTAATCTCCTAACTTCTCAGTTTCCCGTCCATAAAACGGGATGATGTAGATAAAGGGGAGTGTCCCTAGGTTCTAGAATACATATAAAGAGCTGGTACCCAGCATATCATTGTCACGCTATCATCCTCGTGTTTTAGCTAACAGTAATGGATCAGTTACCATGCTGCTGGCATGGTAAGTGCTTTATTCGTATTACTTCTAAATCTCACAGCATCAAAGAGAGGCCCACTTCGTGGAGCAAGGGATGTGGTTTGACAAAGCCCATGCTCTTGAGCCGCTCTGCTGCTCTGTGATTATTGTGAATAATGGGGTGATGCGTAAAAAGGACCTACATGCCCCTGCGTAAGGGTAAGTGCCCCAAACAAGATAGCTTCTATTAATATCAGGGTTGTTCGCACGAGGTGATTGCTTGGACTTTTGTTGTGATCATGATAAAGTTCACCTTTCAAAAATGCATATCGGGGGGTGCCTGGGTGGCTCAGTGGGCTGAAGCCTCTGCCTTCGGCTCGGGTCGTGGTCTCGGGGTCCTGGGATGGAGCCCCACATCGGGCTCTCTGCTCAGCGGGGAGCCTGCTTCCTCCTCTCTGCCTACTTGTGATCTGTCAAATAAATAAATAAAATATTTTAAAAATGCATATCGGATTCTGTTATTTTTAGAATTCTAGTCATCAGTCACGACCCCGAAATAAATGCAAAGCATTGCATAACTGCCTTTTAGAGTAAAACGCAGTATATGTTTATACCACCAGAGCCCGTCATCACTTCTACCAGGACTTTAAGAAAAAAGATGGCGGTGGCAGAGTAGGGGGTGCCGCGGCCAACTCCGAGCGCTGGCTCGCAAAGGGGAGGCCGGGGCAGGGCCGGCTCGACGCCACGTGGGAGGCCCCGCCCTCTCGGGCCGCCCCGCCTCCAGAGCCGAGGCGCCTGCGCCAGCTCCCTCCGGCTGAGCTCGACCTCACGGAGCACGCGCGCTTCGCCGCATTCGGACTGGCGGATCCGCGAGCCCCACGGCACTCTGATTGGTGGAGCCGTTCAGGCTCTGGGTCGGGGGCTCGGCGCTCCTTCAGCTCAGCACGGACCTAGCTGCGGGTCAGGGCCGCGGTAGCACGGTAACTAGGCGTCCGGGCTCGGCTGTAGCTGGGCGCTCCAGTCCGGGGGCTGGGGCAGCTCCCGTGGCTCCCGGTTCCGCCGTACCCTTCTCCACGATCTGGGTCGGGCATGTTTTCCAGGGCCCAGGTGAAGCGGGTCCTGCAGCGGGTGCCCGGGAAGGAACGATTCGGCGTCTACAGGTTCCTGCCCTTTTTTTTTGTCCTGGGAGGAACGATGGAGTGGATCATGATTAAACTGCGTGTGGGCCAGGAGACCTTCTGTAAGTGGGGGTGCAGCAGGGTCCGTCTCATTTCAGGAAGGCAGGAGGCGGCTAGGGACCCATTTTCCTGGGGGACGGTCTTAGGTTGCAGACCGCTCGTTCCATTCAGAGCGCTGAGCTGCTCTTACCGTGGTTAGAAGGGCAAGGACGCTTCCGTTCGCGGCCCGGGGTGACAAAGGCATGTCTGCGTCCAACCTTGAGACCTTCCCTGCACTTTCGGGGAGAGCACGTGACTCGACGCAGGACGCTCTGCTCTCAAGCCTGCCCCCGCGTCCCTGCGGGGTTGTTTGGTCCTAAGGAACAGACTTGCTGACAGCGCCGTGGAAGGGAGTGGGATCCTGAAGATTCAGGGAAACTCCTGCTAATTGGCCAGCCCTCTTCCGGATTCCTCAGTCCAAACCCTGGAAGGAGCCGGTCTGCCGGCCAAACTACCACCGTCTTTGCCGGACGGAGTCGTTGGCATCAGCGTCCCGCACTGTGGAAAGAGTGCCGGGCGCTGCTTTGTGAAGCACTAGCTCTGGAAAGGCCAGTTCTCCTTCTGGAAAGACTTTCCCACCCTCTAGGTCCTTTCTGCTTTATCCCTCTCTAGAAACATGTGTCACTTGTGAACTGCCAACCCTTATTTTACAAAAAAAATTCTTTAAAAAAACATTTTTAAAAATAATCTCTATACTGAACATGGGGCTCAGACCCACAACCCTATGATCAAGAGTCGCATGCTCCACTGACTGAGCCAGCCAGGCACCCCGCCAACCCTTCACTTTTAAAAGATTAATTTATTTGACACAGAGAGCACAAGCAGGGGGAAAGGCAGAGGGAGAAGCAGGCTCCCCACTGAGCAGGAAGCCTGATCCAATGCAGGGCTGGGTCCCAGGACCCAGGTCCCAGACCCATAATCTGGGATTATGACCTCAGCTAAAGGCAGACGCACTGAGCCACCCAGGGGTTTCCCCCAAACCCTTTTTAAAAAAACATTGTTACATTAGTGTTTCCAAAGATTAGTCCTTTTGTTTATCCGTTCATTAGTATTTAATGAGCACCCATGAGAGTATATAATGAACAAGGTAGAGAGTCCCCCACTCCACAAGAGTTCTAATGGCAGAGACCCATCATAAAGTCAGTTACTATTAAGTGTGATCAGTGCTGTGAGGGGAAGTGTGTGTGTGGGGGGGCAATGGTAGTCTTGGGTGGGGCTACCTCAGTTGGATCAGATGGTGCAGGGAAGGCATCCAGGAGTTACCATGTCAGGTGGGGACTGCAGACTGAGTAGGTCAGCCAGATGAGGGGAATGTTCGTGGAGTTGAAAGTGTCTCATTCTAGTGGTGAGAGCAAACATGGGGCCACGGTGTGGATATTTACTGTTTGGGGGACTGCAGGTGAGGGTTCTGTGGCCCTGCCGAACCAAGACACTACCCAAAGGATTGAAGGGTTTTAAGCAGCAGTGGATTATCACATGAGGAGAATAGCTTCTTGGGGAGAGGAGGCAAGAATACTTGGGCTGTGTGGCTGTTCAGGTCTGAGACGGTAGCCTGGTTGGGTGGGGACAGACGGGATGCCAAGAAGTGAGTGGAGTTGAGAGATACCTGGGAGGTGGTACTGACAGGGCCTGGTGATTGAGTGGACTCAGGGGATGAGCAGGGGAGGCTTCCGGTAGGACAGCTGGTGTGGTGCAGGGGGGATAATGGCAGGACAGTCTGGACTCTTGGACATGCTAAGGTGGAGATGGTTATACAGATCTGAAGCTCAGGAGGCACATCTGGGCCATGGATATGGGTTTGTGGGTCATTCAAAAGCAGATTGTGATGAAAGAGTCCAATCCCAACATTTTAAGGGTGATTGGCAATGGCTGGAGAGACAAGTAGGGAAACCAGGAGGGTTTATCACAGAAGACAGGAGGTCCAGGAACTCTGACTAGGCGAATGGGAGGTCAGCCCTCCAGGAAAGACAAAGATGCTGGTCAGGAAAGGGGAGTGGAGAGAGGCTGCAGATAACTGGCTCTTGAGAAGGTAGGAGAGGTTGGGATCAGAGCAGGGCCATAGGAGTAGCCCTTGGAAGTTAGCTAGAAGTTAGTTCTCTATTGATGACTGATCTGTGTGAAGAAAGTTCATGGCCATCTGGGGGTGAGTGAGGGTGGGTCAGGGTCATGACTGAGGAAACAGGGTTGTTAGGCATCACCGAGGGCCCAGTTAAATGCATTAGTTGGCCCCACAGTGCAAAGCAAGCAGAGGGAGGGATGGAGGAGGGCAGCTGGATGAATCTGTAGTTGGGGTTTTGAAGGTGTGTCAAGAAGTTGATATTGCTAGGAGGGAATTGCAGCTGGTTTGAGCAAGAAGATAGAACAAGGTGGGGCTGAGGGGGTATTCAGGGGCCAAGTGCCTGGGGAAGAACTTAATAGAGGTCCAAGGACAGAATGCCTAGAAAGGTAGTAGAGGAATCGGTCAGAGCAGGGTGAATTATTTGAGAGAGCACTGCAAGTAGATGGCACAGGTTGACTGGAGAAGTCAAGGAGGTGAAGGCGGGTGGCGTTGCCTGGGAAGATAGCACAGGACAGGTCAAGGAGCCTGACCTAGATGTCAGTGTTTTCAGTGATTGAAGGGGAGTAGAGAGCAGGTGCCCTTGCAGAGAAGACTGGCAGATGGCAAAAGCCAAAAAGGAAGAGGGTGGAGAATCAGCAGTGGAAAAGCATAGCCGAGAACAAGGGACCTGACCTGACCTCCCCACTCTGAGTTCCTGGCAATGGGCAAGGGAGCTGCAGAGCCAAAGGGCAAGAAGCACCTTTGAGACACTTTCGTTAAGGATGATTTCGGAGAAAACAGACATTTTGGGGGGTGGGGTAGAGAAGGAAGTGAGGAAAGTCTTAAAACATTACCAAGAGGTATGCTAGGACACGATCCTGTCTTTGAAGACATGGACTCTCACCATGCTATTGATGTGCAGAACTGCATTTAACTTTTTTTTTTTTTTTTAAATTTTCAAAGATTTTATTTGTCCGAAAGAGAGAGAGAGAATGTGCACAAGCAGGGGGAATGGCTGGCAGAGGGGGAAGCAGGCTTCCTATGGAGCAGGGAACCTGATGCAGGACTCAATCCCAGGACCCTGCGACCATGACCTGAGCGAAAGGCAGCCGCTTAACCGACCGAGGCACGCAGGCACGCCCCCCTCCAAATTTTGTTTTAAATGAAGTTTATTTTGGCCTTGAGTTAAACAATGAGATTCAGAAAAAGTTGACAGACCTCGACTGTTGGTTAAATTAGTCAGATCTAAGTACCTTTAATTCCTATTTCTTAAAAGTCTAAGTAAAATTTTTATTTGACACAGATGATGTCTACCGTAGAAAAGCCTCAGAACGACAGTATCAGAGAAGGCTGGAAAATGCATCGGAGACTGAACTTCAGCCGTCAATAAAGTGAATATGAAATTTCACTGCTGGTTTCAACTCCTTTGAAAATGTACCTTTCGGATCTCTTGTTCTTATTCAGAACTGCCTTGACAAAGAATTTTTATAGTTTTCCTGTCTGCTTCAATACTTCCTAAGTCACTTTTGGACAACACTTAACGGAAAAACTATTTCCTCCTGAAACACACCTGCCCAGTGAATCTGTTCTATGAAATATTTCTTAAACAATTCAAGGATAAAGCAGGATGCTTTTTTAGTACAGTCGGAATTGTTTTCGAAGTCTTTTGTTCTAGGCAACAAACTGATACCCTTACTTTTTTGCAGAATTCAGATTTAATCATGGACATAAAAGTAAGCTCTCCATTCCAGGACTATTTAAACCAGGATAATTATGCAGATTACATTTCTGCCAGCGACCAGTCACCATTTTGCTAGGCTGGTGGGGATTCCTGACCACACATTACTCAGGTCAGGTGCTCTTGTGAACAGAAATAACCCCTTCCTTTGCCTGTCCCCACGAACATACAAGGGCTGCTGGAGCTCCAGGAAGACTCCAGAGGGGGGAGGCTTCACACTTGTCTTGTGATGAAGATGTGCTTTTACCCAGCTGGTGAAGGTAAAGACATTGCTTCTTCCCTAAGAAAGTGAACCTCCACAATGAAAAAGCAAAACCATAAAACAACCACAGACTTCAGCTAAGTCAGAGGCTCAGTCTACTGGAGAGAGATTTTGTAATTTGACCCAGAGTAAGTCTGGGTCAGCTGATAGCAAAAACAAAGGCTTTATCCATTTTTTTTTCTTTTTACTCCAAGCTTGGTAACTACATCCAACATCTATTTAATCAAGAACATATCTCTATTTTTTTTTTTAAAGATTTTATTTGACAGAGATCACAAGTAGGCAGAGAGGCAGGCAGAGAGAGAGGAGGAAGCAGGCTCCCCACCCAGCAGACAGCCCGATGTGGGACTCGATCCCAGGACCCTGAGATCATGACCTGAGCTGAAGGCAGAGGCTTAACCCACTGAGCCACCCAGGCAGCCCAAGAACATATCTCTGTATTAAAGAAGGCTAAGTTTCAAAATGGTTTCTAACAATTGCTCATGAATATTACAGAAGCAGATGCTTAAGGCCACAGGGTAATCTCAAGTTAAAGATCTCTGCCATGAACATAGCTTCCCAATCTTTTCTAGGTTTTTTTTTCCTAATTTCAGTCCATTGATATTAGAACCAATTCAGTATAAATAGCAAGCCACTGACTACTCAGACCCCCTTCAAGCACGACCCATCCCAGCTCAGTCACTGCTCAGAGATGGCTTGAATGCGAAGACCAGTGATGACCCACAGCACCAGGGAGAGGGAGGTGTTTCTCCTGTGCACTTGTGTGCCTAGAGTTCCTGGTGAACCTAACCTCACAGGCATTTTAGTGGTTAGACTACAGAGTAAGGAATTACATTGTGGTCTGATTCTCCCAGTTAACATGGCCTTATTCCATGCTTCCCCCATCCCAGTTTTAGTTTAGTACTGATATATACAGAGAATATGTAATGGACACAATGTTTACAAAGGAAAGTTGTAAATGTTAATAAAACCATCAACTAACTTACATGTCTGCTGTGGATTCCCTCCCTGGCCCACCTCCCTGTCTGCACCCCAGAGAAAATTACGAGCTACAAATTCATGTTTAACCTTCCTTAAGAGTTTTCTTCTTTTTAAAAAAAATCTGTATTAGCATGCTGCTTTACTGAAGGACAACAACACTCTGTAGATAAGAAATGTCACTTCAAGCCAATTTACTGCATTAAATTGAAGGTACTTTCTTCTTTTAAAAAAAATCTGTATTAGTGTGCTGCTTTACTGAAGGACAACAACACTCTGTAGATAAGAATGTCACTTCAAGCCAAATTACTGCATTAAATTGAAGGTACTTTCGGAGCATATCAGTTTCGATGCTAGAGGGTAAAAACTAACCTCTGTTAACTGAGGTGAAAGCTTTTAAAATTCACCTTAAAACAAACTTTAACCCTCCTAGTACAGAATCTGACTCTGCCTGACTTAGACAAAGAAACTACTTAGGGAACTTTAACGGTAAGAGCAATGCTTACATGCGGATTCTAGGACTGCAGTGCCTCCTAGTGTAAACTATGCGGCAAAACATTTAATGACCCAGGTTTTAGAAACTGTACTTCTAGAATGACAAAAATTGAATTAGCATTTATTGCTTGAAATTTAATTCCACTATGGTGGAATTGGGTAAGGAAATGGGAATTGGGTAAGGAAAGTGAGCTTTTAGGGTGCCTGGGTGGCTCAGTGGCTTAAAGCCTCTGCCTTCAGCTTGGGTCATGATCTTGGGGTCTTGGGATTGAGCCCCACATCGGGCTCTCTGCTCAGCGGGGAGCCTGCTCTCCCCCACCCCCGACCTGCCTGCCTCTCTGCCTACTTGTGATCTCTGTCAAATAAATAAAATCTTTTAAAAAATTAAGGAAAGTGGGCTTTGGAGCGCTTCACTTTACCAGATGAACTGGTAGGGAAAGTTAACTTAGGTACGCAGCAGATTCTCAATAGATGAGGGCTATCTTGATCCCTCTAATGATCCTATTCTGGAAGTGTTTTGGTGAGAGGGCAGCAAAGCATGGTTAACTGAGCGATAGCAAAGTGATAGTACAAAGCTCCTGGGAAGGGAGGGGACCCAAGGGGACTGCCCTCTATTCTGAAAGTCTTGCCTAAATCTCAGATGTATAATTTAAACACATTGATCTCTCTTCTCTTTTCGTATGTCTCAATTTTTCACACCAAGTTACTTCTCTTTAAAAAAGTGCACATTTGGGGCGCCTGGGTGGCTCAGTGGGTTAAAGCCTCTGCCTTTGGCTCAGGTCATGGTCCCAGGGTCCTGGGATCGAGCCCTGCATCTGGCTCTCTTCTCAGCTGGGAGCCTGCTTCCTCCTCTCTCTCTGCCTACTTGTGATCTCTGTCAAATAAATAAATAAATAAGTAAATAAAATCTTAAAAAAAAAAGTGCACATTTGGACCACGGTGCTTTCCAAAGCAGTTCTCTCCTAGAAAAGCAGTACAGTATCAGTTCACACTCTATACATGTGCACTGAATTGGGAATTTCTTGTCACATTTATGTGCAACCCACAAGGCATCAATGCCACATCTATTCCGGGGACAGAAGCAGTCTATTACGTGTTCAGCTCTGAACTTTGATTCGGCTGATCTAGCACACTTCCAAACTGAAAAGGAACAGAGTCACAGCAGTATTTGTTCACTCAGTCTTCAGCGGGAATGTTTGACTATTCAATGATTATTCAAAATATGCTCGTAAGCACAGATGGCAGTACAGCCCTAAATACTTAGGGGTATAGAGCCACAGGGATTTGCAAAGTGATATTAGAGGAAAACAGTTGGTTGATTTTACCAACACTTCTATTAAAAGTGTGGTCATGTTTTTAAGAGCTTATAAGCATGTTATAAATGTTAATAACATGGGCCACCCATCTCTTCTGGCCACAGACACCTGACTGACAAAGGGCTTACATTGCTTTATGATACAAGACATGCTTTCCTTACCTTCCACCACCAGTAATTCTCTAATTTTAACTTCAACCTGTATTTCTGCCCATGATGAGGACATGTTAGGAATTCCTTGACTGCCCGAGAGGCGTGGTGTGGGGCATGTTGAGCTGCAGTGTGACTGCATTCCGCCTGTGCTAATGCAGCCTGAGCCCTGAACCAGGTCTGCTCACTCACTGACTTTGGCCTCCACCTGAGGAGTTCTGTTCCCTTAAATTGGCAGCTAGATCCCTGTCAGCATAGAATCAAGACTTGCAGGAATTAGGCCTGCTTGAGCCTAACATCTGACACAGCTTTAACAGAACAACCAAACCTGGTTAATCCAATTCACTTTGCAAACTCCATTTTTATTTGGATTAAAAAGCTTTAAATGAACAAACATAGGATACATACATGTTATAGGACTAGTTACCACTTAAACCTCCTCTGATACAGAAATTAGAATAAACCAAGTTTTTAATTAGGTCTGCAAATGTTCAAGCTCAGAAGTCAACAACACCAGTTTGAGATTTCACACAAGAAAGTGTCCCCTGTCAGTTCTTCCTCATAGGAAGACAAGGGTGGGTTCAAAATCCAAGCAGTTCAAAGGCCTCTTGAATCAGTTGGCTGACATACTATTTTAAACCTATAGGTTTTCCTCCAAATAAACAAGATTCTTTTCCACATGAACTTACATTTTGAAAACATTTAGGCCATTAAACTTTCTAAGCCATATCACTAGTTTCTAAAATTCATGGGGGGGCTGGGGGAAGATGTATATAGTTCACTTGTACTTTCTTAAGTCAGGACATTAAAAAAAATTTTTTTTGGCTTATCTTTTTTGGAAGATGGCTGACCTCAGATCTTATATCCTATATATTCACTGATACTCTCCAAGTTAATATACAGAAAGACATGATTCTAAAATAAATACATAGATTTTTTTTTTTTTTAAACTTAATTAGGGCCTGCCTACTGGCCCCCTGGCCCGGCTCTGCACTGCCTTAGGGAAGCCCCTGGCTGGATCTATGGTTTCTACAGCACCTCTAGACACTGGGAAGGAGCCTGGAGGAGGAGTGCCCTGGCTTCTAATGCCCCACCTAGCCCACAGTGAAGAGTTTTTAGAGGCTTCCCAAAGAAGTCTCATCCAGACCTTAAAAAGGGAAATAAGATGGGTGCATGAAATAAATAAATAACTTAACCAAAATTAGATTTCAGGTTCTTTGGTGTAATTCAAGAATGTCTAGAAATAAAATAATCTGATTGTATTATACAGTCCATGATGACTCAATGGCCCAAATCACTAGGAACTGAAGATTTCTTTCTCTGATTCAGTTTAACAATAAGGTACTGACATACTATTGCAATACATTTTTTAAAAATTCAGAATTATTCAAAACACTTGATGCAAATTGAGACCCAGTGGTTGACTATAGGCAATGAGGTTACAAGGACCTCCTGTATTTAAAGTATCTA